GATGGAGCCCTGAATGTTGATCTGACAGAATTCCAGACCAACCTGGTGCCCTACCCCTGCATCCACTTCCCTCTGGCCACATATGCCTCTGTCATCTCTGCTGAGAAAGCCTACCATGAACAGCTCTCTGTAGCAGAGATAACCAATGCCTGCTTTGAGCCAGCCAACCAGATGGTGAAATGTGACCCTCGCCATGGTAAATACATGGCTTGTTGCCTGTTGTACCATAGTGATGTGGTCCCCAAAGATGTCAGTGCTGCCATTGCCACCATCAAGACCAAGCGTACCATCCAGTTTGTGGACTGGTGCCCCACTGGCTTCAAAGTTGGCATTAATTACCAGCCTCCTACTGTGGTTCCTGGTGAAGACCTGGCCAAGGTGCAGCGGGCTGTGTGCATGCTGAGCAACACCACAGCCATCGCTGAGGCCTGGGCTCCCCTGGACCACAAGTTTGATCTGATGTATGCCAAGCGTGCCTTTGTTCACTGGTACGAGGGTGAGGGGATGGAGGAGGGGGAGTTTTCTGAGGCCCGGGAGGACATGGCTGCCCTTGAGAAGGATTATGAGGAGGTTGGTGTAGATTCTGGTGAAGGAGAGGGCAAGTAAGAAGGCGAGGAGTACTAAAAATGTCACAAAGGTGCTGCTTTTACAGGGAAGCTTATTCTGTTCTAAACATTGAAAAATTGTGGTCTGATCAGTTAATTCATAGGTAGCAGTGTATGCTCTCATATAATTACTGACCTATGCTTTAAAACATAAATGATTTGTCACAGACCCAAATTGTCCATTTCTTTGATGGGTTTTGAGTAAAGTATTCCCTGTCTTAAATTAAAAAAGAAAGAGCCTGGCAGAAAAGTGTGCTCTAACACACATACAACATATCTGTAAGGTCTTGAGAGTGTTGTTGGTGGTTGTTCTAGGTGTTAGGAAAATTTGTTCAATCACTTACTATGAAGCTAACAAAAGAGATAATTTAGTGGCCACTCTTAACAAAGAATATAAACTTAAACTGGGCAGGGTTGTGCATGCCTGTAATGTTAGAACTTAGGAGGCTGAGGCAGGGGTTTATCTGTAAGTTCAAGACCACCCTGGGGTGCATAGTCCATTCAAGACTAGCCTGAACTACATAGCAAGATCCTGTGTCAAAAAACTTTTTCTATCAACTTCAAATTTTCTTTAAAAAGTCACTAAATAAACTACCACAAATACAATAAACAGTCACAAGAATGTGATTTCCCAAGTTGCCACATAATAGTGTACAAAATGTCCAGCTTTTAGCCAGCTAAGGTAGTGTATTCCTATAATCCCAGCAATGTGGAAGGTTAAAATTGCAGAAGGATTGCAAGTTCAAGTCTAGCCTGGGCAAATTAGGAAGACCCTGTCTCAAAATTAACAAGACATTTACATAAAAAAGGGCTGGAGAAAAAGCTCAGCATTAAGGGCTTAAGGCCCAGTATTATAATAAATAATCTGGTTTTCAGCAAAAAAATTTTTTTAGGCATGGAGAGAGAAGAAAGTATGGCTCATATGCAGGAAAAAATAAATCTATAAATGGAAACCAAGGATATCTCAAATATTGGATTTACTAGATGAAAACTTTAAATCATGGGTATCCAACCTTTTGGCTTGCTTGGGCCATATTAAGTGATAAGGAATTATCTTGGGTCACATGTAAAATATCTAATATAGTTAATTTATTCTTTATTATAATTTAGCCTTTATTCTTACACACACACACACACACACACACACACACACACACACACACACGCACGTACATGGTCTTCCCAAATTGCCCTTGATGGACCCAAATTTGTCACCCTCCTGCCTTAGTCCCCCAGACCTAGGATTACAGACTTGTGCCTTCATGCCTAACTTCCTTTTTCAATATTTTAACATTAAACCACTGTACAAAATAATACAGTAATTATTTTAATAATTATGTAAGAAAACATATCTGTTTGCAACAACAGAGGCCTGCCATAACATGCACACACACGCACGTGTAAGTTGAGATACTACTATTGGTAACTGCAGCCTTTACTTCCTGAGTTGTACAAATACACATAACATCCAACACAGGCAGGCTTTGGTTACAGAGTTGACCCTGCACTGTGACCTTCCCCACACAGCGTTCCATTGTCATCGATGTAGTCTGTGCTTGGGCACCAGCGATTCAGGCGTGAAAACTATTGCTAAAAATCATGTCATACAAAATTTTACGATCTTATGGGGTTACATTACTAGCTTTTCATGCTTGTGTCAAATCAGTTGTAAAAAGAAACTCAGCTGAAGAAAGCCATGAAGAACTGAAGGAAGCCATGAAGACCTGAAGAAATCCAGTAGAACCAAATGGAGATTATCAATAAAAAGACAAATTATAAAAAGGATTGAAGTTAGAACTGAACAGCTGACAAGCATAATAACAAATGAAAAATTCACTAGCGGGGTTCAATAGAAGTTTTTAGAAGAAAGAACAAAGAATCAGCAAACTTTAAGATAGATCAGTTGAGAGTATACAGTCTATGGAACAGAAAGGAAAAAAAATTAAAAACTAAGCCCAAGAGACAGATGGGTCACTGTCAAGTTTACCAGTGTATATAGAATGGAAATCACAGGAGAGGAAAAAGAAGATATCAAAAATATTTTGAAAAAAAACAATGAAAACTTGCAAATGTGATGCAAGACATTAATATTCAGAGCCAAGACTCAATAAATAGGATAAAATCAGATGGATCCACATTAAGGCACAGTATAACCAAAAAAGACAAGGACCAGGAGAATCTTAAAAGTAGAGAAATAATTTCTTCTGTCCAGGGGATTTTCATGAAGATTGATGGTCATTTTTCCCCACAAAAAAACATGGCAATCAGAAAGCAATAGATGACACATTCAGTGCATGGAAGAAAAGCTGTATTGGCCAAGGTTCCTACATCTGGCAAATTACCCTCCAAGAGTAAAGCAAAAATGAAGACACCAGGCATAAGCAAAGACCTGTTGCCAGTTAGACTTGCCATACAAAAATTGCTAATGCTTATCAAGCTGAAAGGTTCCTGGATAGTAACTCAGATGTACGTAAAGACATAAAGAACACCACTGAAGGTAATGATATAGGTAAATAATAAAAGTATTAATGTGTGTTTTGACTTGGAACTACTGTTTTTCTCCACATGATTCAAGGGGCAATCATGCCAAACAATAATTATACTGATATCGGTGGGCACAAAATGTGTAAAGTTGTATTTTACGACAGTAACAACATAGGGGTGGGTGTTGGAGATACATAGAAACACAGTTCTTGTATACTATTAGAACACTGTGTTAACTCAAACTAGATTATTACTAAACAGGAGGTTAATTATAGTCAAACAAACCACTCAGAAAATAACTAAAAAAGGGACATAAGTGAGAAAAGGATAAAAAAGATGTACTGAGAGCCATCTGTAACAAAGTATGACATACTAGAAGAATTGAGGAGCAGTTCTGATTATGTAACACGGAAGAGCTGAGCATGAGGGCAAACGTTTGTAATCTCAGCACTTGGGAGGGTGAGGTAGGAGGATTGCTATGAGTTTGAGGCCAGGCCGAACTATGTAGTGAGACCTCTCTCCCTCTCTCTCAAAAAAGTAGCATTACTTTAAAAATACATGGAATAAACTCCAATTAAAAGATAGACATCGTAGGGCTGGGGATTTAGCTCAGCGGCATAAGCGCCTGCCTTGCAAGCACGGGGTCGTGAGTTCGATATCTGGTACCGATAAAAAAAAAAAAGACGGACATTGGCAGAACTGATAACAGATTTTTCCTAGACTCAGTTACTAAGTCAGGAATGCAGGGCGAACATTGCCAGTAAACTTACAGAAATAAGAGCAAGGTAAGGAAGTACTGCAAACAATTGTGTGCCAACTCTTAGACAATCTAGAGCAAATGGATAAAGTCCTAGAAACACAAAAATTGTCAAAACTGACTCAAAGAAAAAAACAGAAAATCTGGGTAGATCTATAACAAATACAGAGATTAGGTTAGTTGGATAAAGCCGAGCCCAGATCCAGATGGCTTCCCTGGTGAATTCTTTCACATGTTTAAAGAGAAATGAAAACCAGTCCTTCTCAAACTCTTCCAAAATAAATAGAAGAGCAGAAGAAAACACTTCCTAATTCATCCTATAAGACCAGAATTATCCTGATACCAAAGCCAAGGACATTGCAAGGAAATTACAGACCAGCAGCTCTCAGAATATAGGTGCAAAAATCCTTGCCAAACGCTAGCAAACCGATCCAGCTACACATTAAAAGGGCTGCATGGTATAATGAGCAATTTTCTCCAGAAATGCCAGGATCATTCAACGTATGAAAATTAACCAGTGTCACATGCTGCTAATAATGAAGGGACGGGGTGGTGCATGCTTGTAGTCCTAGCTACCTGGGAGGCAAGGGCAGGAGAGAGGCAAGTCTGAGACCAGCCTGGGAACACAGTGAGACCTTATTTCTGAAATGAAATGGGAACCACACTCCCATCCCTGGGCATGATCATCTGCATTGTTTTCTAGTGCAGAGAAAGCATTTGAGAAATCCAACACTCTTTAAAATGCTCAAGGATCTAAGAATACAAGGGAGATTTCTCCATCAGATAGAGGGTATCTGTGAAAACCCCCACGCCTGACTCTGCCAGTGGGAACGTAAAATGGCACAGTTGCTGCACAAAATAGCTCAGTGTTTCCTCCAAAAAGTGGAAAATTTCTTTCCACCCATGCAGCAACTTCCCTCCTAGGCATACACTCAGGAGAAATGAAGCCATGTGTCCACACGAGAACCTGTGTATGAACCGTTCATGACAGCATTACATAATAGCCGGAAAGTGCCAACAACCTGTCGTGTTCTGAGAGATGGAGGGGTGAAGTGTGTCCTGGAACATAACTCGACCATAGCCAGGAATGAAGAATTGACAGAGACTACAATGTTAATGAACCATATGCATCGAAAGAAGCCAGATACAAAAGGTTGCGTCTTGCATGGCTCCATTTATATACAGTGAGGAATACAGGCAAGTCCATCACAACAGAAAGATTTGTGGGTTCCAGGGGTGGTGGCACACGACACGGGAAGTGACTGTTTAATTGACCCAGGGTTTCTTTTTGGGTTGATACAAATGTTTTGGAATTCAAGATGGTTGATGTACTGGAAGCCACTGATTTTGTAGTTTTAAATGGCTAAAATTGGGGAATTTGTTACATGAATGTTGTTGCAATAGGAATAAGGGGCTGGGGATATAGCTTGGGATAGAGTGGAACTCAATCCTCAGCCCAGGGGTGAGAGGTGGTGGGTTGTGTGCACCGCAGACCTCTGGAGATCATATCAAAGTGCAGATTGGGGCTCAAGAGGACTGGGGGGAGGGGTTCCAAGAGCTTGTGTTTGTGACAAGCTTTCAGGTGGCATTGTTGCTCCTCTTGACCCCAGGTCCAGTAGTAAGGCTGTGTTCCCTTAGGTGACTGACCACAGCGTCCTGCCTTTGGATGACCCCTGCTCAATCTGTCCCTATAAAGAAGTAGGCTAAAGCACAGATAGCCAGAGCCTAGCGGGGGATGGGGCCTTAGGGCGGGGACCCCAGGGAGGAGGACTGTGGTTATGGGGTGATTCTGTCAGTAGACACAGGAGACCGGGGGAGTAATTTTTATTTCTTCGTGCAAATGGGGAAGGGGTGACGCTGTCCTCAGAGGGGTGCTGTCCAACGGGCATCACCTCCAGCAGCTGGGCTCAGAAGTGATCTGGAAGAAAGGGGTGGCCCAGCGTGGGTAGCCTGGAGTAGCGAAGGCCCCTCGTCCCCGGAGCCCAGCAGCTTGCCTGACCCTGGTGGGGTGGAGCGGGGAGCTGAGGTCCCGGGGGAAGAGGAGCAGGGAGGAAGCAGGGGACAACGCCACCGGTGCCCACCAGGGGGTGCCATCTTCCCTAAGGCAGTCTCGGGTGCAACTGGAGGGGGTCTAGGAAAGGGAGACGGAAGGAGACACAGCCGAGAGGCGTCTCCAGCAAAGGAAGGCTGGGCGATTCCCCTTGAGTGACAGGCTTGGGGGTTTCCTCTGTGCCCAGCCACTCACCACTCTCGAGGAGGTCGGGGGCCGGGCTGTAGGGCATCGCGGGCAGGTTCCACGCCAGCTCCTCCAGCAGCCCCAGCAGGCTTTTCACCTGGGCCTCCAGGTGCTCTGTGGTCTTCTCCACCGTCTGCATGGAGAGGTGGGACAGAGTCAAGGACCAGAGGGGACAATCTTCCCAGGTGGCAGCCTCCCAAGAACCACGGTGTGCAGAGGGAAGGGACCCTGTTGAGGGTCCAGATCCTCCTCGACCGGCTCTGCCCTCCCTGCCTCAGTCTCCCCAGAGGACAGCATCCTGGGGGCTCGCCCCTGAAGCCCTTCTCTGTCTAGCGCTGGGCGGTCTTAATCCCAAACTGCACCCGGGTCTCCAGAGCACCGGTTTTCCTGTGGGACCGCGCGGCCTGGGCTCACATTCCTTTCGTTGCCCTGCCCCCTGGTGGCATTTCTGCCAAAGAGCAGGTCTGGGATTTTGACATTTTTTTCCCCCCTTTACTCAGTTTTTAATGGATTTTTTGCTCCACTGATCTTGTGGGCATCTGATGCGACTTACAGAACTCTTTAGATGCAAAAATTAAAACATATAGGACTAATAAGTATATCAAATACTTCATAACATTATTCTAGTGTTAAAAATTAAAAATTGATATTGTTTATTAAGTCATTAAATAACATGACCTAACATCAGGCCTCATGCAGTCATTCTGGCCACATGAGGATTGCAAATGACATTGTGAGATACTCACAGCAACAATAATGGGATGAAATCTGTGACTTTTTTCATGGTACTGGTAATATTACTATGGACTGGAAAGGCACTTTTCATTGAAGGTTTATGACATAAAGACATAAACCTCCACAGGCTTATAAACCTCAATTTTTGAGTTATGGCTGTACCACAAAACATGATGGTCAAACTTTCACCTGCTCTAATTTTGGAGAGACCAAAGGCTGGGTATAAGCAAGGCTGCAGGAAAGGAGAGGGTGTAGAGAGCTGGTCACCTGACGGCCCAGTTAGGGGTGTTTAACACAGGGGACAGAATCGGCCTGGACCTCCTGACATTGCAGAGCAGGGTGGCATCCGTGCCCCCAGAAATCCACCAGCAAGGCAGGTGGTCGCAAAGATTCCTGTCCCCTGTCCCAGCCCCATTTCAAGTTATTACCTCCTCCATGACGTCTAAGCGACTCTGGACAGCCACAAGTCTGTCACAGCCTGTGCTCCAAGCTGGGTCTCCTTGGGAGGCACTGAGAGGCTCAGCAGCTATGGGGAAACAAGCCTTGTCAGAGTGGGACCCTCAGTTTCCCTTTAGCCCAGAGACTCTCACAAAATCCTGGGTGTAAGTGAGGTGGGTCCTGACACAGCCCTAAGGCCAGCAGCAAATAGTCATTTGACTATGTGGCCACAGCCCCCTATAGACCTGAGGGTGTGAGGCAATGCCTGGGCCGGGTGAGGTCAGCAAAGGAGAGGTTTCAGCCCAGGAGATGCAGAGGCAGGAGATTCCAGGCTCCTAGGACTAATGCTCCCGGAAGCGTGCTAGCAGATGGGACAGGGATCCTGGCATCAAACCAAAGGGTATAACTGTACCCCAAGGCCTTCATCAGTCAAATACAGTGCTCAGAGGATTATTTCAGTGGATGAATATTCTGAATTTTTAAATACAGAGAATGGATTGGAAGCATGTGTTTTGGAGGCAGGAAGATGCTGCAGGAATCAGGATATGAAGTGATAGTGATGGACAGTACCAAGAGGAATAGAAGGGAAGAAAGCGAGTGGGGATGTATGAGCTGTCTGTTAGCACTGATCACATTGGCATGTGATGTGTGTTAGTGTGCACCACATAAAGTGAACACTAAGCAAGTATGTTAATTCAATTAGCTCCCCAAGAGCCCGTCTCTATTTCCTGTTTACCTGCGGGGAAGTTGAATCACAGAAGGGTGAAATGCCGTGTTTGACGTTACACTGACAGGAAATAGAAGAGTTGAGATTGTGGTACTAGAGATTGAACCCAGAACCTTTACACTGAGCTACACCCCCAGCCCTTTTTAAATGTTTCACTAAATTGCCCACTCTGGGAACTTTTGATTCTCCTGCCTCAGTTTCCCAGAGTGCTGGGATTATAGGTGTGCACCATCACACCCGGCTGCACGTACAAACCCTTAATCTGTCCTTTCCATATCCAGCCTTGATTCCTCCTGGCACCAAAGTCTTCACAGCAGAAACCTTAGAGCCTTGTTCTGAGTACATTTTGCAGGGCTCATGGCTCCGAGCTGCTTGGGGCATTAGAGTCGGTTGGACCACTGGAGAGCACTAACCCTCAGGAAGCAGGGTGCTGTCCCAGCTGTCTACAGAGCAAAGAGCTTTACAGATTCTGCAGAGGGTGACAAGGGCAGCATAGCCTAATGTAGGAGGGTGGCAGCCTGCAGAGGACTGGAAAAGTTAGCCACAGAAACACCCCGGGTTGGCAGTGTAGTGGGCCCCACAACCAAGTCCTCTGGGAATGTTCACTAGTATTGCTAATGTCATGAAGGCAATCTGAGTGCTGTTTACAGAGAAACAGCAGTAAGTATGTGATCCTGCTAGTATCAAGTGAGACAGCTACAGTAATACTGCCCAGGACAAATCAGACATTAACATACTGTGATAACCAGTTATGTACCACTCTTGATCCTAGAGAAAAGGCAGACTCCTCAGCCTTCCATCACAGACCCATTGGCCTCCTGATACAAACTCACATGGGACTCTGCAGTAAGCTCCAGAACTCTGAGTCGATGCTTCAGATCTCCGTGTGCAGAGTGACCCTCTGCACCCTCCCACACACAACTCTATGAGTGGCTATTACTTACAAGAAGATGACAGAGTGCACAGTAAATGGCCTCTCCAAGATTTGATGTCCAGATGCTGGAATACAGCAAGAGAAGGAGGGACGTGAATCCCTGGGCCCCAGCAAGGACTGAAGTGAGAACTGAAACCCATGGGGAGAGCGAAGAGAGAGACCTCAGTGCAGAGGAAGGAGGGAGCAAGGGGAGCTTTCTCCCGAGCCTTGATCATTGTGTGGGAAAGGCAGCTCGAACCTGCGGATGCCCAGTGGCTGCTGGCCACCGCAGAGGCCTCCACAGAGAAATGTACCAGAAGATGCGAGCAGTGGACACAGCAAACTACAGTAGCTGAGAAGATCTTCATGTTCACATGTCTGTCCTAGGAGAGAGCAACCAGCCGGTAGTGTGGCCATTTTCACTATATTGGTTCTCCCTACCCAAGAACAAGGGATAGCTTTTAATTTTTTGATATCGTCTTCAATTTCTTTTTTTTTTTTTTCCAGTGTACTGCAGTTTTCAATGTTGAGGTCTTTTACTTCTTTTGTTAGATTGATTCCTAGGTATTTCATTTTTTATGCTATTGTGAAGGGTGTTGTTTCCCTGATTTCTCTCTCAGTGTTTGTTATTCGGATATAGGACAGCTACTGACTTTTGAGTGTTGACTTTGTATCCAGCTATGAGACTGAATTTGGTTATTAAATTTAATACTCTTTTGGTGGATTTCTGGGGTCTTCTATGTAGAGCATCACGTTATCTGCTATTAGATACCCCCGCAGTGGGTTTCGAATCTCCTGCTTGGGTAACTGTGCTCAGGGGGAAAGAAAATAAAGCACGAGACAAGAATTGCAAAAGAGAGGACTCCGGGATGATCAGTGTCCTCTAGGAGCGAACACTCTACGTCTCCAGCTAGCCACCATTTTATTAGCAGTGCAAGGTCAGCGGGCGGAAACTCGGATCCTGGAACTTGCTCCTGAAGCTTGGCCAGGAAGGCAGGGAGCTCAGATCACCAGGCCGAGAGAAGCAAGCGTTACTGTGTCAGCTCTGTTTTCTTAAGAGCTGGAGAAACACAGCAATGCTTGTAGCCGGAGGGACAGGAAGGAGACTGAGGAATGTGTTTCCTGAGGAGATGGAGGCCAAGAAATGCAGGGGTGATCCGTGGAGGGAGAACAAAGGGGGTGCGGTGAAAGCAGGGAAAGGTAAGCTTCCTAGAGGGCCCCTCAATGGCCTCCCTAAGTGGAGATCTTTTGCTGGAAATTTCTGTAGAAAAGAGAGACTGTGACTAAATTTTCAGGAACCCTGGGAGTGTGTTGTTAAACCAGTAAGTGTAGTGCTAATAGTTACATATGTAAATCAGCAAATCTTTTGTTCTTTGAGAGCCACTTTATCAGGGTGGGTTGAGAGGGGAAGGAGAGTACAAAGGGCGTGAGAAGGGGACCTGGACAGTAGCAGGTGAGGGGGACTGCACAATTGGACTGATGGGCATCTGTTGGTGGAGTCTGGCTTTTGAATGTCCCTGAGGCACACGCATTAAAGGTTGGGTCTCCAGGGCGGCTCTATCAGGAGGCAACATGGACCCCTCAAGGTTGAGCCTTGTGGGAAGATCTTAGGTCACCTCAAATGAGTCCTGAGACCCTGGTCTTTTCTTTTTATTCTTCCTGGATGATGAAGTGAGAGGCTTTGTCTTGTCTCACAGAAACCCATGGACTGGTACCTCCCAAGCCATGAGCCCAGCAACCCTTTCCTCTTTATAGCTGGCTGCCTCAGGCATTTCATTACAGTGATAGCAAGCTGAGGAATACAGTGCTTTGGTGGAGACCAGTTTGGTTGCTAAATTCTCCTTTTCGTGATTCCCACCCCCTGAACTTTGAAAACCCTCTTCAAATGACAATGGTGCTATTATTGAATTGCTGGGTAGGGTAGGGGTGAGGTTATAACTGCATGCTCACTACGGTTATAAGAGGAGTCTTTCAGAGACCTATGCTGAAAAATTTACCACTGAAATGCAAGAGTATCTTGGATTGACTTAGAAATTCTCCAGGCCTGGAGTGTGGGGATGAGAGGAGAGTGGGTAGATGGACTCTCAGGATCAGGGTGATGGGCCTGTGGGGTGTGGGGCGGGTTAGATGTTTTCCATGGTAAGAGCCAGCTGTCTGGGGTAACCGGCAGGGCAGAACCCTGGGGGGCTGAGCACCCCGGTGTGAAGTGATAGGGAGATGGAGAAGGGAGTGGGAGCCCTCTTCTGGCTCTGACTGGAGAGGCTGCCACAGGCCTGGAAGTGGGCCTGGTCAGTGGACCCTGGAATCTGACCCATTTTAGTGATACTGAAGTGCTTTGCCAGAGGGGAAGGACCTCGGGGTGGCAGGAAGCACTGTCCCCATCCACAGGGGGCTGAGGGGCCTGGAAGGGGGCTGGCTGGATCTGGGACTGACCCCCATCTTTGGCCAAGTCATTCCCCTGAGTGTCACTTGCCCTCTTGCAGCCCCCAGGGTCCTCTTCCCCCACCCTGCGTCTCACAGCCTGTGCCAAGAGGAGCAACATGACCCCACAGCAAGCCGAGTGGGACTGCCAGCTGTGGGTGTCCCAAGCAGTCCGACTCCACCCCTCTGCCTTAGCCTCAGCCTGTCCCCTCCGTGCCTGCCAGGAGGTCTGACTTGGCCTCAGGATCCCTCCAGGGAAGAGGCCAGGCTGGGGTCGCTCTTGGAGCAGCTCAGCACTAATCTCTCACATCTGGACGAGGCCTTCCTTGCTCAGTGCACCCCAGCCCAACTGTCCATGAGCTAATCCGGGCCTCCGAGGAGCTCTTCGCACACAGAAAGCTTGGAGCGCGGCCCTGCCCCTTCCCCCCACAGAGGCCCCCATGGCTTTGGCTTGAATGCTTATACACACACACATACACACATGCACGAACACACATGGCTGTCAGGGCTGAACCAGAAGTGGCAAAGACGGGATGGACCTGAGCAGCCAAGGCTTTGGTCCCTAGTGCCCCTTCCTCCTTCCCTCCACCCTCCTGGCCCTGCCAGCTGGGAATGGACCTCCCCGGAAGTTGGGCTGCTTTTTCTGGCCTGGCTCCTGCCTGGGCCTGATATGCACCTGGACGGTGGCCATGAGTGGAGGAGCAATGCCTGTGTGTGAGAGCTGGCAGCTGGGTGGGACCCACAGGCCCTGGGAAAGCACCAGGCTGGTTGTCCTGTTTAAGAGATGTGGAGAGATATTCGGGAGGCTGAGGCAGGAGGACTGCAAGTTCCAGACCAGCCTGGGGAACTTAGTGGGATCCTGTCTCAAAATAAAATGGAAAAGACTTGGGATATAGCTCAGTATGAAGGCCCTGGGTTCAATCCCCACTGCCACACACAAACACACACACGCACACACACACACACACACACACATTCAAAGATGGGGCCCGTAAATTCTGTCCTGTGAGACACGCCTGCTACTCACAGGCCTTACAGGGAGATCTTTGCCTCGGACAGTCACACACTCAGAAAGCAACCACAGCTCAAGTGACTTCTGTGCAGTGGGTGAACAGCATCTTGGTAGCATTTTAAAAGGCGCTGTTTCACTCCTGAATCGTACAGTCATACTCTTGTGAGCAATGCTGGCCACTTGGGAGTTAATTATATTCGACCGCATTCAATGTAATAGAATAATAAATTTCACCACATTCAAAACTTATATAAATATTTGTGATTCATTCAAAACCATCAGTGGCTTTGTAAAAAAGGCAGCGGAGCACTATTCTGAAATGAGCATATGAAGAAATGTAATAAATGGAGCTGCCCAGGCTGAAACACTGGGGGAGCCCGGAGCTCGGAGACAAAGGTCACAGCCCAAGGAACATTTTTACTGTGTTTTGTTTAGGAAGGGATGCGTCCTATTTTGCCTCTTTCTGGGATCTGTTTCTAGATCTGGACTCAAGCTTTGTGAGTCACTGAGTGCTTACCAATTCTGTTTCCCGTTACGTTTGTATTTTACTCAGGGTACGAGTCAAGCTGTCATAACAAAGAGCCCCTGTCAATTACACCCAGTCTGTTCTTCTCTTGTGGGTCAGTGAAGAGCCAGACTGGCCAGTGGCCACACTGGCAGGCGGCTCTGCTCCAGTCTGCACCGGAAGGAGGATCCTCTTAGCTCTGTATAGTATGTGTTCAAACCACTGAACTGTGATACAGTAAGTCCCTGGCCCACAAACAAGTTTCCTGCCAGGTAAACGTCTGCAAGTTGGATTTGTTTCTAGGTCCAACAAAGTGAGCCTCACCTACCTTTGACACACACATATAAAGTACATTGCTTTGCTCTTCCTGGCGATCCTCTCCACAGTGCCACTGCCTTTCTCTTGCTTTTAGACATCTTGGGCTCTGAGCACTGTGCTACTGAACGCTACCCTCTTTACAGTAAGTGCCCAGCAGCACAGCTGGGCAGAGTCCGGCAGACACATAACCTACTTCCGCAATTTGCTCACATCTATCCATGTTTGTAATGCAAGGTTGGTTTGTACCTGTGAAAGTTCACAACTCAAGTGTTCTTAAATCAGAGACTTACTGTCTACTAAAACATTCCAGTGGGATGTGCACACCTGTAATCCTAGCTTTGGAGGCTGAGGCAGGAGGATTGCAGCGAGTTTGAGGCCAGCCCGAACTGCGTAGTGCAATCGTACCTCAAAAACAATTTAAAAACCCACAGATAACACAACTTGATGCTTTGTACTTGGTATGTGAAGTACTTTTACAGATCAGTTTGAAAAATCTCAACACAGAAATCGATAAAGTCTAAAACAGTTTACAAAAATCTGTAGAAATGACCAAAATACTTTTGAAGAAATAGCCCAACTTCAGCGGCAATGAAAGAAATGCAAACTAAAATAATACAGCATACAGGACCTTTGCAAAAAAAATAAGTCAAGTAGGAATAGATCAGTTTTCTAGATGTCATCATCAGTCGATAATAGAAAATACGCAGGATAGATAAACAATTAGATGATACCAGGATGAGGAAATTAGCAGAAAAAAAAAAAAAAAGTAAAAATCTTCTTAGGACAAACTTAGCTTCTCCAACAAATAAATTTTAAGAATAAAAAGAGGTGAGGGAGAACTTATATTTTAAACAGAGTTAACCAATGCAATGCAGGAGACCTTCCTTAGATCAAACAAATGATGTCTAAAAACATCGCCACCAAGCACACGTAAACACTGATTGAAAATCTGAAGGTAAGGAGTTATTAATTCCTGAATGTGGTAATGGCATTGCAGTTCTGTTTATTAAGGGTACTTATCTTTTTTTTTTCTGAGACAGGGTCTTACTATGCAGTTCAGGCTGGCCTTGAGCTCACTTTGTAGCCCAGGCTGGTCTTGAACACGCAATGATCTTCCCCCCTGAGCCTCCCGAGTGCTGGGATTACAGGCGTGAGCCAGTATGCCCGGCTAAGAGTACTTATCTTTTAGAGATGCACAGTAACTATTTACAGGTGGGAATACATGGCGCTTGGAATTTCCTTTAAAATAATTCAGGGAAGAGAGCGGAGATGGGCTTGTGCATGAATGAGACGGGGCATGCACTAATATTTATAGCAAGGTTCATGGTATGTTGTTGGGTTCCACTTTTACCTACCATTATTTTGTATCCAAATATTTTCCTAATCCAAGGTAAGAAAAACTGCACTCCATAAACATGCACAACTACTATGTGTCAAATAAAAATGAAAAAATATTTTTAAAAGGAAAACATTACTTGTCCTAGTAGGTATTTTCTAGCAAGAGTTAAAAGACATCATATTACGGTGTTACATGCATATTCATTTCTACAGGTACCTAAGCACAACTCATACCAGCTAAATCTTGGAAGCAGCCTACATGTCCATCAACAGATGAATAAATAAAGAAAATGTGCTATTTATACCCAGTGCAATACTACTCTGCCATGAAGGAAATCAACGAACCTCAAGACCAGAAAGTTAATTCAGACACACAAGCTTAAATACTGCATGCTTTCTCTTATGTGAAAGACTCGAAGTGTAAATAAATTACAGAGCAAAATAAAAGACAATAGGAAATAGGGAGATGGCTCTTTTGCAAATGGGAAGGAGACCAAAAGTTGAAGGGAGGCAGAGGGAGGTGACAAGGAAATGTAAAAAGAATTAAGGTGTGCTATGCACACGTCCCTCTGGTGGCACGGGCCCTGGGACCCAGATTCCAGGAGCTGAGAGGAGAAGGGGGAGGAGGTGGGCAGAGAGGAAGCAGCTGATTCTCCTTAACAGGTGGAGAAACCGAGGCTCGAGGGACCTGTGGAGGGATGTAACAGAATGCCAGGTTTCTTCCTTCCCCCAGTCACTGCAGCCAGTCTTGGGGAGGGATCCCTTCTCCCCAGTTCACAGAGGAGGAAACAGTACCAGGACATAATGAGATTTAGCCAAGGTAGGGATCACTCCGGGATGAGGGGGAGCTCAACCCCTCTGGTTACTGGCCCTGAATAGGAAAGTGGCTTCTGTTTGAGCAAAACGCACTTTTGCCTGCATGGGCACAAGGGCTTGGCTGAGGGCGAGGGTGTCAGGACCCTTGGTGAGGCCTGAACTCCTCGTTCACCTGAGCCACACCCTGGGTTTACAGGATGTGGTTTGCAAACTGTAAGGTGCATGCATGGGGTGCAGAGGCCTGGGGTGGATGCGCATCTGTGAGTACTGCCCTGGGCAGTACCCAGTAAAGCTGGGGCATGGCCTCCTCTTTCTTCCCAGTCCCTGGGAAGAAGGATCAGCACTGAGACCTCAGGCTGGGTAGGATGGTAAAGGGCACCATGCAGGGCAGGGAGCCCAGCGGTCCCAAGACCCTGCTGGCTTCTCCCTCCTGTACGTCCCCAGTTCAGCCCAAGACCCAGGGCAGCACGGAGCTCTCAGCACCAAGTCCACTTCCTGTCCAGAATGCAGAACCCCTCCTGCCACCAGGTCGCTCTCCTGGGGCCCCTATCTGTCTCGGAAAAGGCTGTGGTGCCCTCTGCAGCCAGCCTGGAGTGGAGCTGGTCCCTCAGAGCTGCCACGCCCTGCAGGCCAGGCATCTGCGCTGGCCTAGTCTCTTGGTGGTGGCCAGCTGGCCCTCACAGCTGGCCCTCACCACTCTCACCGGCTGCTCCTGCTCTCCTTTGGTCTCTCATAAGCCTTTCATTTTTCCTCAACAGCCCTGCCCTGCAGCGTTTCAGTTCTTTTTTCTCACTCTTATTTGCTTATTTATTTTGTGGTCCTGGAGACTGAGCCCAGGCTCTTCACACTGAGCTTCATCCTCAATCCTTTAAAAAATTTTTTTGAGGGCAGGGGCCATAGCTCAGGAACACAAGTGCCTGCCTGGCAGCACAAGGTCCTGAGGTCGATTCCCACTTCCCCCACCAAAAAAACTTCAGTTTTGAGATAGGATCTCACTAAGTCTTGGCATGAATTCGAGATCTTCCTGCCTCAGCTTTCTAGAGTGCTGAGAGTGAAGTATTCCTAGATGGGATGCTCACCACCCCGCCTGCTTTTTATTCTCCTTCATGTCTCTATCTCCAAAGCCCCTTCTGTTTCAGCCTCTTCTGTTTCCTTCCCTCTCTTTCTGTTTGTGCCTCTCTCTGTCCTGTTCCTCCTCTTTTAGTTTTCTCTCCAATCCTCCCTCTCTGCGTGTCTCCACGTCCCTGTGTACATCTCTCCATCCCTCTCCCTCCCTCTCTCCGGCTCCCACTCCTCCCAGGGCTCCCGGATCCCCAGCCCCACTCACCCGCGCGGAGCAGAGCGAGCCCGGCCAGCGCGCAGAGCAGCGGGCGCATGGTGCGAGCGAGCGCGGCGTCTGCCCGGGGATCGCGCCTGGCGGGCGGGGAGGAAACGAGCGCGGGCCGAGCCAAGATTCCTGGGCGGCTCCGGGCTTCCTGGTTGCAGGGAGCCCGCCCCTTCCAGAGGCCCCGCAGCCCCCAGCGGCCCGCACCCAGCTCGGGACCCCGAAGGCTTATCCTGCACCGCTGTGCCAGCCGGGCACAGGGGGCCGCCTGGAGCCCCGCGCCCACTGTGGTGCGCGAGGGGACGCGGTGCAAGGCGGGCGCTCCGGGACTCTTGGGAGCAGGCTGAGCTCGGGGAGCAGCGCCTTGCTTCCCTCCTCGCGTTTGCCACAGGACTGCACAGCATCCGAATCCAGGTCCCAGGCGTGGAAGCTCTTCTCAGTCTATCCACGAGCCAGAAACGGATGCGTGGCACTCAGGCTTAGTGTCTGCTTTCACAGAAACTCGCTGCCCTGGGAAAGAAGTGACCTCCCCACCCACACTATTCCCACGAGGCTCCTGTAGCTACAAAATAAGCTTGTAGCTGGTCAGGGTGGCAGAGCCTGCAATCCCAGCGCTCAGCAAGACTGAGGCAGGAGGATGAGGATGGATGGTAAGTTCGAGCCCAGCGGGGGTCACCTAGCGACTCAGTGAGGGGCTGTGGCTAAATAAAAGAAGGGCTGGGGAGATAGCTCCATGCAAAGCCCTGAGTTTGTTAGGTGGGTAGACATTCGCCTGCCTGAGGGAGGAAGGGAGTGGGGTTTCAAAATAATGTGCATTAAGTTCATTAAAGAAAGACTCCCAAGTACAATACGTGCGTCATCATTTGTTAGGTCTCAGACCTAAAACAGCTCTACAGAGCACAGTGATGTCTTAAGGTTGTGCATTTTGCACATTCCTTCTGGCCACCCAACTCCAGTGCAAGGCACACTGCATTCCTGATGCCATAACCCACAGCCGGATGATATAAAAAAGACAAATGGTCTTTAAAGACCCTCCTGCCTTGGGCTGGGGTCTGGTTTAAATTCAGCACTTATCTTTTGTGATTTTTTTTTTTTTTACGTGATTAAAGCCCCCAAGGAAACACAGACCATCTAAGAAGGACAGAAACATAGTTTGTAATCCCTAAGTAACTTCTAAGTAAAATGGTGACAAGCATCATAATCACTCCAGTTCTCTGGACCCCAAGAATAACTCTTGGTTTTGGATAAAAATGTATCCAAACTTGCCCAGCAGGCCTATAATCCTAGCACATGGGAGGCTGAGACAGAAAGATCACTGCGAGTGTGAAGCCAGCCTGGGCTACATGGTGAGTTCAAGGCCAGCCTGCAGAACATAATGAGACTCTGTCCCAAAAAACAAAAAAAAGTATTACACTCACACTCTGTGAAGAGGCCTTCAAGGTACTACCTGCTTTCGAGTTTGAATGTGCAACTGTCTGCATCCACCTTACAGTGAATTCTGCCTAGGCTTCTGCAGAGCCCATGTGTCTCCACTGAGTTCTTTCATCAAGGTCACAAATGTTGTAGTTAGGGGTTGTGCAGAGAACAACTAGAATCAGGACATAGAGTTTATAATATTATTTTTATGATGGTCATCAGGAGTTAACACAAGAAAGTGCAGGAAATCTGTCCACAACACCAAAGATATAGAATGTTTAGCCAAGAACCCGAATCCCACAGCAATGTCCCGCATAAGTCCAGATGAAGACATAGAGCTCATGACAGTGCCTCCTATGAGTCCAACTGGAGGTCCAGAGCCCACAAGAAGGACTCACACAGTCTCTTTTACGGATCTGTGCTGGGAAGGTTCAAAGGTCAGCGGTGGAAGCTAGAAAGTTTATGCCAGCAGGGTGAAGGAGCTGTGTTGGTGGATTGAGGGGTCTATGCTGGAGCTGAGAAGTCACACTCACAACAAAGACCAAGGTTGTCCTGAAAAGCACCACAGCCAATCCTCAGCTACATGGAGGCCCTGAGGTCCTCTGATGACAAGCACGGTTGGGCACATACCAGGAAGCCATGTGATGAGTTCATCCTGGAGACCAAGTGGCACACATCTTCCCCTCCGGAGCCAGGAAGCAGTGCTCGATGTGAGGACCAGAGCTTCTCCAGGAGAACCAACACCTCAAACAGCAACTCGTAGAAGAACCCACAATGCCTCAATGCCTCAACACAATAGCTTCTCCTTCTCCAAGTCTCTATTTATGCTGGCAACTTTCCTCAGGTGCGACATCTACACTCAGCACCATGCTGATATAATCGAGCATTAAGTTCTTAATCCATAACAACAAAGAACCAAACACCAAGGGTACCCAGCTTCCAGGTGACAGGTTCAAATCCCACTATTACAATAAATAATTAAGTGCACAATGAAATTTTAAAAAATAAAATGAGCATTGCTAACAATTTCATTTGAATCATGACTGATCAGAGATTGTGTAAGATGCTTGGTCAGTCCGAAGAATAGACTTAGATCCGTAATGCAGACAAATATTCTCAAAAGGAGATTTCTGGGGAGGGAGGAATAGGAACCAAGAGAACCTGTGGCAGGCAGAATTTGCCTATCTGCTGATGAGGTTATTCTGCATTGTTCTCAGTTACATGATTTACAAACTTCCAAAATAGCTCGTAAGTAAGAGATGGCACTGAGCCATTACTAATGGAATCACAACTGCAGTGTTCAGCAAAGGGTTAAACCTGGTGCCTGATAGTGTCAGGTAGAGTCTGGAGGAAATGGAAATAATTCCCACAGTCACACGTAATCGTGTTGTTACAGGAGTTAGAAAAGAAATATTATAGGCAGTCAGACAGTGCTGGGTCCTCGAAGGAACCAGTGCAGAAGGCAAGACACCTTGCAAGCTTGGAGGAAACAGAAAGCTCCAGCTGTAGGCCAGACCTGCAGACTAAAAATCAAGCCAGTACACCTACATCCTAAGGGTTGATATTCTAAATAGTTTTCTATCACCTTGAGGAAGCAGGGGGTCTCCATCCCAACGCCCTACAGGAAGAATCACTGTTCTTATGTGTTTATGTCCACTATATGTGTCTATAAGTGTTTATGTCCACTTATGTGACTCACTTCTCCTGATTTTTCCTCTGATTTAATCAATTTTACCCAAGCCATTAATCTTTTGTTTTTTGAACCGGGGATTGAACTCATGACCTCAAGCTTGACAGGCAGGCACTTGTGCGGCTGAGCTAAATCCCCATCCCTGAGCAATTAATCTTATGGGTTGACCACAGTTCTGTCCCACCTCATGCCCACCTTGGGAGTTCCTAAGTTTTCCCCACCTTAGACCTGCCTCACTTTGTGATTTTACTCCATAAAAGGTCTTTGGCAACCCCTTTGAGACCTCTTCTGTCTGTTTTGGACAGAAGCTTTCTTCCTCTCAATAAACATATTCTGCTTTTAACATCCGTTGTTCTTAAAATTCTTTCTTGGATTTTAGAGAACATAAACTCTAGTAGGTTGGGAGTTTCATTCCCCTGTATCACTGTCTGCCCTATAAGGAGTTCACTGTCTAATAACTTTCTTAAACGGCAGCTAAGCCTCGGGGTGGGTCATTTGCAGCCTACACCATCTCTCATCTGCACTGTGGGCGTGTAAAGGACACACTACATATCCATTCTGCAGAGCAAAACCTGCTCGGAAAGGTTAAGAACCTTGCTAATGGCCACACACCTACAAGGTTCTCAAGGCGGTGGGAGGAACCTAAATCTACCCTCTGTATAGAATTAAATTGCAGTTTTGCTGAGTACTGATTTGGAAAACGATTTTCAGGATGGGATTTACTGTGTAGCAACAATTTTTTTTTCTTTAAAAAAAGAACTTTAATTATGAAATATTTCTTTCTTTTTTTTATTTAAGGAGAAAAGAAAAAAAAGTGAAAGGGTACAAGTTATACAGATTTACAGAAGAAAAAAATGAACAGTAGGAAATCACTAGTTAATGGATTACATATTGCCATCTTAAAAATAATTGTTCAAGTCAGATGTACACACTCAGACTGGGTGTGGTGGTGCACGGCTGTAATCCTAGCATTCCAGGAGGCCGAGGCAGGAGGAGCCCTATGAGTTTGAGGTCAGTCTGGGCTACATAGTGAGCTCAAGGCCAGCCTAAAAAAAAGGTGAATTTGGTTCTGCTGCCCATGCAGCCCAGTTCTTGACAGTAACGTACACTCTATCTGATTACATTTTTGGTGAGCATGCTGGGTGGGCTTCTTTATTCTGACAGCTGGGTGAGGTTTTCAGTGAGCTTCAGGTCAACCCCATCTCCTTCAGATTAGAAAACGGCTGAAACTCTATCTCCCGGGATACTCATCCTACAAATGCAGAAAGAACAGAGTTTTAGTGAAAACACAAAACAAATGAGACTGTGCAGCACCCCAAGCACTTTGCCTGATTGGGGGTATTGTCCACTGCTGAGCCTGAGAGAGTATTTTCATCTGTGGGGTCTCCTGCTCACAGTCCATGGGCATCTCTGCAGGGCAGGCCGTCCCTCTAACCTTCTCTGGTCCTGGCTGTGGCTATGCAATTGTCCATAATTTCATCTCCACATTGCCCAGGAATCCCACAGCTCAGTTCCTCCTCTGCAGCAGCAAGATGATGCTCTTAGGCATGGAAAGCTGGATTCTGGGGGAACAGATTGGCCAGGGAGATGGGGACCCAATTCCTCCCACCCACCTCTGTACTGGGTCTTCAGGGCTGAGCTGTGTCTCCAGCCTTTTGCATTTATTTTTTTAATTTTGGGACAGAGTCTCTCCAAATGATGGAACATAGGTTCCATAGGTGCATTTGATTTATAAAAAGCACTCATAGGGATCAAGATGCCCAGAAGAGCTGGTTTAGAAGTGAGGATTTCAGGAATCCCAAGAATTTCTCCCATGTGGTAGGACACTCCTTGGATGCTTGGTCAGATGGGAAACTATCAAATAGTACCTAAGATCTTTCAGTTTGGAGCCAGTGGGCTACCTAATAGTTTGAATTTAAGGTTTAAAAAGACCTGGGTGTGGTGACATATGCTTATGGTACTGCTACATGGGAATGAAATTACTAACCTGCTAGAAGTCCAATATGAGTTCATGTTCTCTAAAACCGAAGAATGAATTTTAGGAACAATGGAGGTTAAGAGCAGAATATATTTATTGAAAGAAAGAAAACTTCTGTCTGAGAGAGACAGAGGGGTCCCTAGTGGGTTGTCAAAGACTCTGTCTTTTCTAGGGACTTTTATGGAGTAAAATCACAAAGTGAGGCAGGTCTAAGGTGGGAAAAACATGGGAACTCTCGAGATGG